TTCAAATTTTCCATGAACTTTTCTTTGAAGTTTTATTGACATAGAATTGTATATCAAACAATTCCATAGTTTATGGCATTAAAAGGACTTATGCAATCACCACGATTAATTTTAGAAGATCTTTCTACTTCTTTGTTCATTACTATTAGCTCTTATTCCCCCCACACTCTCTCCTGCCACAACCCTGAGAAACTATTAATCCAGTTACTATATTTGTGAATTTACCAATCCTAGATTTCATATATAGAAAAACATCCAAAACAAAATTAAAATGACAACAATTAAAAACAAAAACAGGAAACCCTCAATATAAAGGTAGTAGAAATTATTAAAAAGTAGAACAAATTTAAACTAGGTCAAAGGGAGACAGCTGATAAGGTCCTCAATGGTAACCTGTCTGCCTCTGCATTAGGCCACTCTCAAGACACTGTCTAGGAGCAAGGCCATTCTGAGCTCTGGGCAATGATTAAGAGTGGATTCAGCAGAGGTTTAATCCACATTGGGACCCCCCAATCTCCTAAATTTTTATAGGTGTTCTTTTCTAACCAGTTTTACTGGAGACAAATGTATTGTGCACACTGTGAACTCTTCCAGGAAGGATTTGTATTTATCTGGCATCTTATGACCACTTTAATTAAACATAATTACTAGTTTGATGTTCTCGTAATTACTCCGAGATAAAGATTTCTTTTAAAATAATTAATACCAGACTAGTCTCAAGGAGGAGATTAAAGATGTCCCCAATGTCCACATTTTCAAAGATGTCAACCTCGATGTTAACCACGACTTAGTATATGCCCTGGCATCCCTGTGTTCTGTAATTTACTACAGTGGCTCACGTGCTTGTGAGTGCTGTGAAGTACCAGATCCCAAGTTCAGCTATCATCTGTATCCACAAGGCTGTAAACTCGTGAAACCAAGTCAGGGGATAGAAGCGAGCTAAATTCAGAATCTAGAGTCAGAAGCCAAAAAAAAAAAAAAAGCCTGAAAACCCAAGCAGGTGTTCTGACTTCTAACATGCTCAGTCTCACAGCAGAGAACACAACGAGAAGACTGATGGAAGTGTGACCTGCCTTTGTTTCACCAGCTTCCACACCCTCGCAGATGAGAAGCATCCTCCAGACAGATGTCTGAACTTTGGATTTGGGACTTAACTGTACCCAAACCCACAGGAGCCAATGGATAACCAACCCTTCCCCGCCGGGATCCTGACCATAGGCACAGAGGCTAGAATTTACAGTACGTCACAAAAGGGATCCTGGCTAGAAGGCCCATGTTAAGTAATTGACTGCATCTCATACCTAAACCATAAACAAACAAACCAGTTATTGTTGAATTGATTCTGACTCATGACAGAGCACAACAACATTCCATAGGCTGTTCATGACTGTAAGCAGATTGCCACACCTTTGTATGCATACGAACCCCCCAACTTCTGTTCAGCAGATGAGTGCTTACACACCACCCAGGGACGCCTGGGAACTACTCAGCCAGTGTCAATTCAGGTAGCAAAAGTGGGATGTGTAATAGAAGGAAATAGGTTTATTTTTCCCTTCACTTATTGTCAAGTTTTAAGACAAGGTTTATTTTAAATTCCCTTCCAAAGCGAATATTTATATCTATATCATACTATAATGAGTCAATATAATTATTGGGATTGTAGTTTTTAGCCGTGGCCTGGTGATTTTTTTTAAAACACTCCCCCCTAGCACCACCCTGTATTTCCAGCTCATATATATGCCTTGATGAACCACAAAATCTCAAGTTTGCCTAAGCTTCAACTTGCCAGTATTTATCTCTGCATATCTTACTGGCTTCCACTTCTGATTAGACGTTAGTTTCTTACCACAAAGAATATCTTTAGATGAATAAGATTACTTTTGGAAAAGCTCTCATGGACCATCTCTAGGGTCTCCGGTGTGAAGTGGGGAACCATGCACATACCATGCACGTGCCAAGTGGGCCTTGCTTTTGTCCTTAGGTGTGGTTAAGTGCTGCATGGTCGATTCCAAGGCCCAGGAACCCGACGTCCAACCGACGGAGACACTGCCCGCTCCTGTGCGCGCACCTCACGGGTTTTCTTATGTTTGAGCCGATTATTGTGACCACCGTGTCAGTTCATCTTGTCCAGGGCTTTCCTCTTTTTCCCCAAGCATGGTGTTCTTCTCCAGGGACTGGTCTCTCCCGACAACATGTCCAAAGTATATGACATAAAGTCTTGCCATATTGGCCTCTTAGGAGCATTCAGGCTGTATTTCTTCCAAGAACGATTTGTTTGTTCCTTTGACAGTGATGGTACTCCTACTATCCTTCCCTAGCCCCATGATTCAGAGCAGCAATTCCTCTGTCTGCCTTACTCAAAGTCGAGCTTTCACATGCATATCAGGAGATTAAAAATTCTAAGACTTGGGTCAGGTGCCTAATCTTCAAAATAACCTCCTTGCTTTTCAACACTTGGCTTCAGGTAGAAGCAGTCTATGTGAACATATACACGGGGGCTTCAAAACGTGTGTTGAAAAATTCCATTATCTTTTTGTTTCATTTTTCCGCAAAATTACTGAAAGCCCATCATATATACCTGAGATATGTACAATGGAAATGGAATGGGGCTTTTACTTTGCTTAATGTTGCTTATGCCCATGTGTTATGAATAGGTTTACATATTGAGGGGCTGCTGTGTACAGGTATTTAATTTTATTGGTTACTCGTGAATTGTGCTGTCATAAAACAGTGAATCAACTTGAGAAAATGAAAGATAAAAAAGTATGTAGTTGTAACAATTTAAGAATAATTAAAGGTTAACCCCTGTAGTACTAATGGTAAATGTAATGCCAGTTTAGCGGCAGCTGCGCTTTTTGCGATGATGTCTGGGGTCAAGTTTCCTGGGCTAAATGGACCTTGGCTGTGGACTTGGAGTGACTGAGGCACAACGGGGCTGTGGCATGTCCGCACATGAGGATGAGCACATAGAAGAAATAAGCACACATATGAAAATGGCTTGATAAAATGATAGGTAAATAGTGAAACCAAGATTAAAAATAATGCTTAATCATACAGAAGAATTAGAAATCATCGAAGAGGGTCTATAAACAGCTATTCAAGATTCTTGGGCAAGAATCCTGAATAGCTGTTTATGATGTTAAAAGTTTGGACAACAAGTAGAATCGGGGTTTCTGGGGTGGAGATGGGGTGGGTACAATGGAGTCAATGTCAAGGGTCCAGGATAAAAGAATGTTTGGGAACTGACTGTGGTAGAAATTACACAACTCTGCTTGATCTGAATCAACTATGGAATGGCATGATATATGTATTAACTCCCAAATGAAAAACAATAATAATAAAGTTGTGATTTATTTCAAGGAATAAATGGACTCTCAAGGAATTTTTTAAAAAGTTAGGGTGATGTTTGCACGTTGTTGTTACTGTACTTAATCTTAGTTGTCTGTACAAAACTGGCTAAGTTGACAGCATTTTTTAAACAATATTTTTTTTTACATATCTTACTAATTCTAATATGTCCCTTCCTTTCCCATCCAGTTCTGTTATTCAACCCCATTGGGTGAGGCTATACAATCATCAACTCCCCTCAGCCCCACCCCCCTTTCCTCCCTTCCCCCTATCACTTCCTGTACTCTCAGGGAACCCTTACTCCTGTCAATGTCTCTGAGGGGCCGTGTCTCTTGACTACCATGTTACTGAGCGATCCTAAATGAACTAATGAACATACGCAAGTCTAACATGACCGATGAGGTATATCACGTATGAACTACAATAGTAAGGGGAGGAAATCTCAAAGAACTAGAAGATAGTTACATGGTCCATCAGTGCCACACTGCACCCTGGATTTATCCCCCCTTCTGTGAGGCCCATCTAAGAAGGACTGTCTAATGGTCTTGCTGATGAATTTTGGGTCTCCATTCCATCCACTCCCCTTCATATCCATTTGGATGTGCGTTTCTTGAACTTCCGATACCTCTTCCTGTCAACACCTCATGATCACACAGCCTGGTGTGCTTCTTCCATGCAGTTGACAAATGTTTTGTTAAATACATTTTACCACAATAAAAATGAGGGGGAAAGATATATTAAAAATTTTTAACTTCATCCAGAAATAGAGATATATAGGCTAGACTAAAGAAAACTGTGGTTATAATGTTAAGTGCTGTCAAATCAGTTGTGGCTCATGGGGACCCCTCACCATGTGCAACGGAATGACACCCTGCCTGGCCCTGCAGCACCCACACAGTCGTTAGGGTAGAGCCCATTCTTACAACCACATCTCTGAGTGCCTGTTCACTAGGGGGGGTTCTCATCCTTTGGTACTATCTCCGGCAGTGCTCTGTTGCTATTCATAAGGTTCCAGTGACTAATGGTTCAGAAGTCTTCTGCTCGTTTCTTCTTACTAGTCTGTGTTAGCCTGGAAGCTCCACTCCAATCTATCACCAGGGAGCTGGTATTAGGGGCTCAAGTAGAAAGTAAATGTTTTGAGAATGATAATGGCAACAAATGTACAAATGTGCTTGACAAAATGGATGTATGTATGGATTTTGATAAGAATTATATGAGCCCCCAATAAAATGATTAAGAAAAAAAGATTTTGTAGAGGAGCTGATACCAAGAGCTCAAATAGAATATAAATGTTTAGAAAATAATGATGCCAACATATGTACAAATGTGCTTGATGCATTTAATGTAAGGACTGCTATAAGAGCTGTCAGAGCCCCCCAGTAAAAATGATTTTTTTTAAAAAATTCTATTTTTTATTCCAAAAAAAGAGAGAAAAGGTAGTGACGTAGCTTCCAGCATCACAACAACGTTCAAACTACTACTGTACAACAAATGATAGATGAGTTAAGATTAAGAAATATAATATTGGGAGTCTATATACTAGTAGGGTTATCTTTGTTTGATAACCTAAATAAAAATATGTATATATATTTATAGAACAATAACAATGTAGTATTGATATCAATGTGTTTATTTTTATGTTATTATTTTAGAGGGATTCCAGGGAAGAAATGTGGTACTATCATACTTACAGCAGAGGAATTAAATTGTTGCAGGGTAAGTACAAATTTCTTCAGTTTAAAAAGTATTACCAATGCTTCTCTTAAATGACATTTCTTTTAAAATATTTTCAAACTTAGTTTTCAGATAATTTTAGCACAAAAAAAACCAAACCCACCTGTTATATAATTCTAAAATTAACAACACCAAAAATCAGTGTAGATATTTAGCCATTTGTATAAATTCTAACCAGAGAAACTGCATTTTATGATCGAAAAAAGATAGTAGATTATTTTAGCAATATTTTTTTAAGAATAGAAATTTTAAAATTAAAAACCAATGTTAACATCCTCTTTTTTGGCATTCTGATTAAGAATTGTCAGTTGCAGTTCAGTTCTGGGACAGATTTTGAAGATTTATATGTGAATAATAAAGATAATTTGTAATTACTTAAGCGTAGCTTCTTCGTATAAAATACTCTTGCTTTTCATATTTCTAATTAAATCACGTCAGAATTTCTCTGATTCCATCTCTTGTTCACTTCAGTTAATTCCATTCGAAAGGGCCAGCTACCCCTTGAGCTAGGAATGTGACTACAGTACTAGGAGGTCATGGACTGTGTTTTCAGAAAACTGCTAT